TCCTGGGCCTCTCAACAGACTCCAGTAAGACTCTGTTACAAAGGCTACTGGGACAGACAAGAACCAGCTCACATGACATTAAAGAAACAGCCCAATACATCAAGGGGAAAATAAAGGACAATTTATCTCCAGAAAGGACTATCAACCTGTTCCACTGTCTGAATGAGCTAGGTGACAATTCTATAGTAGAGCAAGTACAAGGATACCTGAACTCAGGAAGTCTTTCAGCAGAAGACCTCTCACCTGCACAATATTCAGCTCTGGCCTTTGTGTTACTGATGTCAGATAAGGAGCTGGATGTGTTTGATCTGAAGAAATTCATCAGATCAGATAAGGAGCATTGGAGGCTGCTGCCTGTGGTCAAGACATCTAGGACAGCTCTGTAAGTGATGATGTGAAAACATATTTTGTCTGGCAGTAACAGATTAACATTGTTTAAAATATGTAAAATGTGCAATTTAGTTCTCCTCATGGATTAATAACTCATGGGATCAGAAATTCAAGTATCATTAAAAAAATGAAGCTCCTCTGGACATCATTCAATTCCCACATAAACGCACGTGCACACACACACACATCCCAGGCAGGAACCGAACCTGAAACCCTAGATTGTCGCCTGCAGTGCTGATCACTGAGCCACAGCGCTACTCAGTGCTTTATGGAAATTCTTATGCAGATATTAAAGAGTCTCAGGGTAACATGCCGTTTAAGATCAATAAAAATCCTTATTCTCTTCTGGATCTGGTCCTGTCAGGACAAGCAAAGAACTCAGCTGTCCCACGTTGGGCGCCAAATTGTGGAAGAAAAATTATAAACCAACCTCTCTAATAACTCTAGTTAGACCACTTAGAATAAAAGCAGGTAAAGTAAATGAAGTTTAATGGTAAAAAACGTTGGTAAGCGTGATTTCAATACCACTTCCTGAACAATACCTTTTTTGATACAAATTTGTTTTTAAATAAGTTTCAACGACAAAAATATGTTAAATGTTATAGCAAAAATCCTTTATTTGAACAAGTTATTTTGTTCGTTATCAATTGGATAAGTACTGGGGGATCGATTTGAATTATAATGGGGGCAGAGCCTTTTATTTATATTTTACTTATATTACCTCGGACATGTTTATAATCCATAAATAAATCTGGCCAGCTGATCAATCTTTCATTTTCCACAAAATAAAAACGATGTAATATTATCCTGCTAATAAGCGCTGTAATGTTTCACTGCTGACACCAGCAATATATGGAAATGCAGCAAAAACATATTCAGTCTTATTGAGGTACAAAAATACTTCCATCCGCTCTGTCTCTCTTTCTGCATTTCCGTGTGACTTTCATGTTAGTGCCGGTGCTTGTGGTCAAGCAATCAGCAAATCACCACTGTAAGCGCTGCCTTAGTAGCGCTTACAGTGGGGACCAGCGATCAGACCGAGTTCTGATGATCTCGCTCACACATACATGCGTGCATACACATACATATACACAAACGTGCATACACATACATATACACATACATACACACACACACCAATCTCGCTCTCTCCGGGTGTTTCACATGATGTATGCTATATGGGGACATAATCGGGCAAAAATGAGGGCACAGCACTGGTGCTCCTATTGTCATAAAATGTAGTCGCACTGTATCCAAAAATGGTCATAAAATGCGGCTAAATGGTTGCAATCTGGAAACGTGAAGCCACACAATTTCTTAGGCATGTTTTACACTATGTGAAAAAACAACAAGTGATCTGGTTCCCAGGTTTTTTCCACTGTAACACGTTTGTGTGACGTTACATTAAACAGCCAATTAGCAGTGACTTTAGATCTTTACATGAGTATGCTGCATGCTTATTAGCTCACAGACGCTGAGATAGTGCTTGAGTATCGGAATTTTGCATCGAAAGAGAATTAATTTTTCAATTCTCGATAGGATCTGAGCATTTTGGTCGGTACTTAGCCCTACTTTGGGGAAACCTGGCAGAAAGATAGCTGGTGTCTGCAGTGGAAGCTGTTTCATTGGTCTGAATATGTTTTGAGAGGATTCACATGCATTGTTAATAATACACAGTGCCATTAACAATGTTTAAGTTTTGTATATGGCTGTGTCTTAAAATGTTTTCTTTTCCAGGTTGGATAGCTGTAATCTCACAGAGAAATGCTGTGAGGTGCTGGCTTCAGCTCTCAGATCAAACTCCTCACACCTGAGAGAGCTGGACCTGAGTAACAATGACCTGCAGGATTCAGGAGTGACGCTGCTCTCTGCTGGACTGGGGGATTCACATTGTATACTGGAGATACTGAGGTCAGTTTTACTGGGTATTTCACACTGTAAACTGGAGATACTGAGGTCAGTATTACTGGGTATTTCACACTGCAAACTGACGATACTGAGGTCAGTATTACTGGGTATTCCACACTGTAAATTGGATATACTGAGGTCAGGATTACTGAGTATTCCACACTGTAAACTGGAGGTGAAGATGCTGAGGTCAGTATTACTGGGTATTCCACACTAAACTGGGGATAATGAGGTCAATATTACTGGGTATATCACACATATTAAACTGAAGATTCTGAGGTCAGTATTACTGAGTATTCCACACTGTAAACTGAAGATGAAGATACTGAGGTCAGTATTACTGGGTATTCCACACTGTAAACTGGAGATACCGAGGTCATTATTACTGCGTATTCCCCACTGTAAACTGGAGATACTGAGGTCAGCATTACTGGTTATTCCAAAAGAGTATTCTACACTTTTAACTGTAATTATTGAAATGAGTTGCATTGTATGAAAGTAGTCACATTTACTTTAAAGTAATACTTGTAATTATGAGGTGATCTTAGTTATCTGAGAGTTTTTTCTGTTGCTCTGCAGGCTGTCAGGCTGTAGAGTCACAGAAGAAGGTTGTTCTTCCCTGGCTTCAGCTCTGAGGTCAAACCCCTCACACCTGAGAGAGCTGGATCTGAGCTACAATCATCCAGGAGACTCAGGAGTGAAGCTGCTCTCTGCTGTACTGGAGGATCCCAGCTGTAAACTGGAGAAGCTGAAGTGAGTAGAGGGTGTATGTCTGGTACTGCTACAGTAATTTATGGATGTATGTGAAGAAGAGGCACAAATAACTTGATACAGCAGTACTACGTCATTCTGCTTTTCTTGTAGTGTGGACCACTGTGGAGAGTGCAGGACCAGACCAGGCTTACAGAAATGTAAGTGTGTTTGCAGGTTTTATTAATAATACCATTAATACTATTAATAATACTTTTTTCCTTTCCGAAAAAAGTCAGAATTCTGACATTAACGTCAGAATTCAAATAATATTTTAATGGTGGCCCTAATCCTCTTCCGTAAAAAACACTATTAATTCAATTATAATAAAAAAAAATCTCATATCGTCTTTCTGTTTGTGTGAGAGTGTAACAGGGTTAAAATGCATTCTGATATATTTGTGCATCCTTCACATTTGTCCTTTTTCCGCATGTGCTGAGTGTACGCGTTTCCTGTTTGAGATGTGTTGAGTATTGTCCTAAGACGGCTCCCGTAGTCTCCCCCAAAGCGGCGGTGATACCGGACTCTCTCCTCAGTCTGTGGTTAATGCTGCTGAGAGGAGGTTCGGGTCCAAAGTGTTTATAAGGAAGTTTATATTTTAACGTAAAGACGCTCACTTTTAGTATTCATCTTTGGTGTCAAATTTTTGCGGTAAATATGTTTGTGGTGAGTGTGTCTGATGAATGCCGTTACTTTGTACTTTTATTTACTCGTAATTAAGCCGTTAGTTTAGCACGCATGACACTTTGGCGGCTCTTCCCGCCGGCGGGCGACATTTCCTGAGGTATTTCACACACAGGGAGCCCCTGCTTACGGACGGGATCCGTTCCCAAAGTCTGTCTTGAAGTTGAGTTTGTAGGTAAGCCAGAAACACAAACGCAGTACACAATAAATAATGGTAAATTTATTCTTGTTACTAAAGAGTAAAAATATAAGTAAATACGGTTCTGTACTGTACCTCGAGCTGACAAGCACACGCATTCGTTATAATGGACCATTGTATTTAACCCGCATTTTTAATATAACAGGATTTATGGCAGTCCGTCCGTAAGTACGAGCTGTCTGTAAGTTCTTAACTCGGACTGCCTGTATCTGAATTCCCATTTCGGGCGGGGAAGCTGTGCTGTTTTGTATCTTACAGAATATAAAGTACAGGCTAAAGCTCGGCCTGATGATCATAGCGGCTCTTCCTCCTGCCTACAGACTCCTGCCAGCTGACACTGGACTCCAACACGGCAAACAGACGTCTGTCTCTGTCAGAGGGGAACAGGAAGGCGACATGGGGGGCAAAGCTGCCATATGCTGATCATCCAGAAAGATTTGGCCGGTGGCCCCAAGTTCTGTGCAGTGAGAGTCTGACTGGTCGCTGTTACTGGGAGGCTGAGTGGGATGGAGATGATGCCCGGATAGCAGTGGCTTATAAGGGAATCGGGAGGAAAGGAGTGAGTGACTGTGTGCTTGGATACAATGACAAGTCATGGAGTCTGTGGTGTGATCCTGACAGTTACTCTGTCCGGCACAATAATAAACAGACATTCATACCCTTAGTGCCCTCAGGCTCCCGCAGAGTAGGAGTGTATCTGGACTGGGAGGCTGGTGCTCTGTCCTTCTACAGAGTCTCCTCCGAAGGACTGACCCTTCTGCACAGGGTCACCTCCTCATTCACTGAGCCTCTCTGTCCAGCGTTTGGCGTTTATCCAGACACCTTAGTGTCGCTGTGCATGCTGGGATAGCCTACTGCCTGCTGGAGGAATCATTTTTACTGTATCACAATGTGACCTTGCTGGTTCGCCATGGTAAATCTCTGCTTTTTAACCTGTATAATCCCTTTTACTCTGAAATGTATGTTTGACAAAAATAAATGACGGGGTTAGGTAAGCTGAGCTAACATGCAAAATAACTTTTCTCTCAGAGTAAAATCTAATGTATGTGATATTTATGTTTATATATTGTATTTGCTACCTGTAAGATGACATTAAAGGCTTTCTGTTCTGTCCTGTAAATATCGTGGTTAAGGCGGTGCCCAAAGCATAACTGAGTAACATAATTAAACAGCATTCTGGTGAATAAAATTAAAATCACTTTACTACTTACAACTGAACATAACTGTCAGGTGTGGGGACGGGACAGAACATTGGACCCGGATTGCAGGAGACCTGGTTTATTTGATACAAGCGTACAGAGCCCAAGGGATGAGGAAGAAGCGAAATTGAGGACGGAGCGGAGTCGTCGATAGCTGAGAGAATCAGTCCTACACTAACACGCCACACAGGAAAGCGCAATAATACCGCAATACTCTAGTAACACAACAATACTGTAAAAAAATTTAAAATAAAATTTCTTCAGAACTGCAAGACGTTCAGCATCTGGTAGCAGAGGAAGACGATTTACTCCAGAGCAAGAGACCGATAGTCAATATGGTGACGTGATGCTAAGGGAAATGCAACAACACATAGTAGCAGGTGACACCACCTTCCAAAATATAAACAATGTGAGCCTCTCAGCCTTGTCTCGTCTACTTGTACGCAATAGAATCATAATGAAACAAATTTAAAGAGTCCCTTTTGAAAGAAACAGTGAACGTGTAAAACAACTGCGATATGAATATGTGCAGGTCAGCTACAGTATCATTGGTACTGGGTCTGGAAGTGCATAGTGCTGAGCACGGGCCTGCTGAGCTACAATGTTTTGTCTCGTCTCTTCCAGAGTGATGGAGCTAGAGGCAGACGCCATGGGTCTTGAAATGATTTTTGTGGATGAGGCAGGTTTCAACCTTACAAAACAAAGGAGACATGGCAGGAACATTATTTGCCACGGTGCCATCATCAGTGTCCTAGGACAACGTGGGGGTAATATAACTATGTGCAGCTATAAGCGAAAATGGTGTCACCATCATGCAACCCTGGGCTGATACAACACAGCACATATTATAACATTCCTGGACACCCTGCATCACATACTTACTAATGATCAGAGACCAGAGCAGACCAGGTACGTCATCATTTGGGACAATGTGAGTTTCCATAGGGCTGTTTGCTCTGCAACTGGTTTATAGACCACCCACTCTTCACCGTACCCAGCCTTCCCCCGTATTCTCCATTCTTGAATCCAATCGAAGAGTTGTTCTCTGCCTGGCCCTGGAAGGTATATGACCCTCAGCCCTATCAATGTATACTTGTATAGCCCTTTTACAGGCAGTGGAGGAGGCATGTGGAGATATTGACCAGAGGTCATGCCAGGCCTGGATACGGCATTCCAGGAGATATTTTCCCTGGTGCCTTACACTACAGGTCATTGAATGTGATGTTGACGAAATCTTGTGGCCGGATGCAGAAAGAAGATAAGATGTAGACTAATTTTTTTCTGATATTTTTGAAATTACTGTATTTGTTTTCATGAATTTTCACTTTGTTGTTCGGAAAAAGAAACACTTTGTTGAAAAAGTTTGTTTTGATGTGGAAATGAACATCCATACTCGAAATTTGAATGCTTGTGTGTGTGTGTTTACAGAACTACATGTATGACCAAAGTATGACCTCAAACTAACATAATTTGTGCATAGAGAAGGCAAAATCAAGATGTGTTTTTTTCATTTAGACCATCAGTGTGTAGTTTTGCAAGATTTGTGTGATTTTGCAAGTGATAAACAATGTTTTGTTGATTTGGTGTGAGGTTTATTGATTTGTGTGTGGAGGTCTGCAAAAATGTGAGAAGTTCGGATATCCGGGAGGGTTTCAGAGTAGAACCGCTGCTTCTACACGTCGAAAGGAGCCAGTTGAGGTGGTCTGGACACCTGGTACGGATGCCTCCTGGGCGGCTACCCGGAGAGGTTTTCCGTGCATGTCCTACAGGGAGGAGGCCCCGGGGCAGACCCAGGACTCGCTGGAGGGATTATATCTCTCGGCTAGCCTGGGAACGTCGCGGTGTCCTCCCCGAGGAGCTGGTAGAGGTAGCTGGGGAGAAGGAGGTCTGGGTATCTCTCCTGAAGCTGCTACCCCCGCGACCCGAACCCTGGACAAGTGGTAGGTAATGGATGGATGGATGGTTTGCAAAAATAGCGAATGGTTACAAAAATTTTGCTTAACCTATCAGAAAAAACTGTAATGTGCAATAAAACATTAGCCTGATAAAAATCATTCTAAAATTCAAGTACTAAAATATTAAAGTACTGTCATTGATGCCCTCTGCTCCGCATGCACGCTGCAGGACCTGTCATTGATGCCCATTGCTCCGCATGCTTGCTGCAGGACCTGTCATTGATGCCCATTGCCCCGCATGCTTGCTGCAGGACCTGTCATTGATGCCCATTGCTCCGCATACTTGCTGCAGGACCTGTCATTGATGCCCACTGCTCCGTATGCACGCTGCAGGACTTGTCATTGATGCCCATTGCTCCGCATGCACGCTGCAGGATTTATCATTGATGCCCATCGCTCCACATGCATGCTGCAGGACCTGTCATTGATGCCCACTGCTCCGCATGCTTGCTGCAGGACCTGTCATTGATGCCCATTGCTCCGCATACTTGCTGCAGGACCTNCTGCTCCGCATGCTTGCTGCAGGACCTGTCATTGATGCCCATTGCTCCGCATACTTGCTGCAGGACCTGTCATTGATGCCCACTGCTCCGCATGCACACTGCAGGACCTGTCATTGATGCCCACTGCTCCACATGCATGCTGCAGGACCTGTCATTGATGCCCACTGCTCCGCATGCACGCTGCAGGACCTGCACTGTGACCCCATGCTTGCTGTCATCTGTTAATGTGTCTGTGTGTCTCATGGACCATTCAGTACCGTGCAGCAGCACATTAATGACTAACTGGAATAAATAAAATCCATTTAGATACAGAGATTACCTGGTATTTATTTATTTTTATTCATTTATGTTACCTGTTTAATTTTACGTAATGTTCTCTGCTGATGCTAATGTTCAATACTGTTAGCTGTTTGTTTTTAATTGAGAATACTGTCAGCAGTGCGACATAAATGGGGGAGGGGTAGGAAGTAGTGGTGGGCAGTAATGGGGGGGTTGTTTAATTCTGTCATTGTGAAAACTTTTTAACATGTTCAATTTCAAACACTCTGATGTACGTGACAAATGTCTTGATTATATTCCAGTACTGCACACTGTAGTAGTGATGTTCACAAAGAAAGCATCAGGACTAAAGTGTATGTGTTTGAATGCTGGATGTCACCAATGAATTAAAACCATGAAATTATGAAAGTAATGAAATTTACTCTTAATCGTTGTCAATGAACAAACTTAAACTTAAGCTGATGTCTAATGTTTCTAAGACAATCAGCATTAAAAGAAACTGCTCAGGTAATATTTGTCTTGAACTATATTGAGTTTTAGCCTATTGGGATTCACTAATTTTACTGCTGTTAAAAGGTACTTTTTATTGCTGATCAATTCATCATTTCATAGTCCCTGGCTTTGTTAAAAAAAGGTTTGTGGTGCCCTTGCGCTTTAAACTGAGCCATTATATCAGAAAATATGTTCATTATTAAGGAATTTATGGGCAAAATATGCCTGGCATGTTGCTTGTTTACGTCTTAAGTATCATTCCAAGATGGCGGCTCTGCTGACGCATAGTCACAATAAGCGGAACAGCAAGATGGTATCTAGGCTTTCATATCTATGGCTGAATCTGAATACCAAGGACTCAGAGACCGTACTCACCCTCCCGGCAAGACCGGTCTTTCTAACTTGTCTTGTAAGAAAGAACGTGGAGTGCAGAATCATGGGATTGGTGAGGATGCAACTGATGCCTCTTTGACATTTGGGGCGGAGCAAGACCACCATCTGGCATGTGTACCTGGCTGTAGGAAGGGCCTGAGAGTGTGTGTTCTCTGTCAGACCCAGATCACAAGCCCCAATACGTCACTTCGTAAGACGCCATTTTGACGTCTTTTTGCGTCTTTGTCGATCTAAGACCATTCTTGTTTTTGTATCCGTTATGTATGCCATTATTCTGAGATTGCAAGATGAAATGAGTGTATTGTCATTGTTTCCAAAGGTTGATGTAACCATGAATTTACTGTCAATTGTGATCTTGACTGTATCATATTTCTGAAAAATACCATAGTTCATATAATATGTATATAAATACAATGTTACTGCATGTGTCATAATTGTGAGGCATCAAACTATAGCCTACCTATAATATTTTTAAATAATTGTTTTTTTGTCCTGTAGTTATAAAATATTGCAGTTCAATTATACCTGCATTTCATTGTTTGTATGGAGACTGTAAACAGTCAGAATATGATAAAAAATATTCTGAATAAATTGTGCATTTTACCTGGTTATTAACAACATGTATTTGTTCCCTCCAAGATAAGATGTGTCAAGTAATAACTCATAAAATAAATCTACCTGAGTCTAGTCTACCTGAGTAAATCTACTACAGAGCCAGTTTGGCCTTTATTTGTATTGCACTATACTAATATTAAACCTCATAATTATATACATTTGATGACATAGTAATTCATTTTTAATCATTTTTTTTTTATTGATTAATCATTGTGAAGCTCTCTGCAATAATAATATAATGATAAGATGCAATAGTTATACAATTGCCTAATTTAAATTAAATGTTTGTCCAATTAATAACAAAACTGTACTTTTGTAAAAACACTGTATTTTTTACATGCACATCCAGTGGCTCTTCAGTCTGTGCAGTTTTGCTGGTTTAAAGTGAGGACAGAGCGTGCAATGATACAGGCAACAGCACGTGCTGCATCTGCCTATATCAGGCAGTGAATCCTCAGGTAGAATCAAAGAATGTATCTGGTATATAAAAAACATGCTAAAATAAACACAGAACAATTAACACATACCACATTAAAACAGGGTCTTTGAATTATGTGCTTATTAGTGATGCGCGGGTCGGGTATTTTTCCAACCCGCGGGTCCCGCTTTTATGAAATTATTTGGCCCGCCTCAGCCTGCCTCAGCCCGCCTCGCAAATAAAGTGACAATTTCTTTACCCGCCCC